ATTCTACTTATTTTATTTGTAGCCTTCCCTCACCAGAAGGTGAGGAAACTCTTTGGGAATAGGGATTTTTATCTGTTTGTTTGTTGTTGTTTTTTTTTTTGGTCAGGGCCTAGAATAATACCTGACCCCATAGTAGGTGCTCAATAAATATTGTTTGTATATTTGATTTATATATTTGATTTATAAAATATATAAATCAAAATATATATATACCACAATAAGTTTAGCTAATATTAATTATCTCATATAGCTATAAAGTGGATGAATTGCACAGACATAATATTGAGCAAAACAAGCAGAGTAAAAGCACATTTACATGAGCCTATTTAACTGAAGTTTGAGAACAGGCAAAAGCAATGAGAAAAAGTCAGAACAGAGGTTACCTTTGCCAGGGGGAGGGTATTGACTAACTGTAGGGAACATGAGGGAGCTTTCTGGAGTATTGAAATATTTTATATCTTAGTCTATGTGGTGGTTACATGGGTATATGGACATGCAAAATTCATGAAGCCATGCACCTAGAATTTGTGCACTTTGTGTGGCCAGAAAGAGTAACACCAATTTGTTAGACAAATGGTCAAAGGAAATGAACCTGCAATTCATAGGAAGAATATGAATGGAATGGCCAATAAACAGAAGATGTTCGATCTCAGCTCACAAATAATTAAAGATATTAAAATTAAAACAAAGTGATTTTTTTTTAACTGACAGATTGGGAGCTAAATTAAGTAATTAAAATTTAAAGGTTGATAAAGTTGTGAGAAACAGGCCCTCTTGGTGTATACAGGTATAGCCATAGTAGAGGGAAATTTAACAATTGTCATTAAAATTAAAAATATTCCCATCTTTAATGTAAAATTCTATAAAATGCTAATTAATCCACTATAGAGTGGATGGGTGGTTGCCAGGGAATGGGGTATCAAAAGATAGAGGCATGGGAGGAAAAAGTTACAAAGGGCCATGAGAAACTTTTGGAGATGATGGATATGTCTCATTATCTTCATTGTGGTAATGGTTTCACAAGTGTATACACATGTCACAATGTACTTAAAATGTATACTTCAAATGTGTTCAGTATATGTCAATTATACTCAACAAAACCATAAAAAGTTCTCCATGACCTCTTAAAAATAGGCTCATATCTTTTAATAAAGCCATTATATTTCTAGAAATGTTTCCTTCAGAAAGATAGGTGGGCAAAGCACATGCAAAGGCATTCTATAATTCAGCCAGATAGTACTATTTGAATGCCAGCTGTTTCAGACACTGGGATAGACAATGGAGTTATAGATTCCATAGTCATGGAATTGACTATATTTGTTATTGTTTTTTTTTAAAAAGGCCCTGGCTGGTGTGGCTCAGCGGATTGAATGCCAGCCTGCAAATCAGAGGGTGGCCAGTTCAATTCCCAGTCAGGGCACATGCCTGGGTTTCTGACCAGGTCCCCAGTAGGGGGCACTCAAGAGGCAACGGCACACTGATGTTTCTCACCTTCTTTTTCTCCCTCCCGTTCCCCGTCTAAAAATAAATAAAACTTTTTTAAAAAAAAAACAAGAAACAACTAAGGGAAGAGATATGTTCTCTTGTAGGAGGCAAATTTGGGGAGAAGTAAGCTTGGGAAGGACCGATGACAGACAAGAAAGTCCTGGCAGCATCTGCATCCCTGGTGATGCCTGTTTCTATTGGCCCACTCGCCCTTTCCGAGGTTTGTTATGTGAGTTATAGATTACCCTTTCCGCCCAGGCTCATTAAGAGTTGGGCTTCAGAACCCAAGTGTTCATCGATGAATGAATGCATAAACAAAATGTGATGCAGGAGGTCTCTCCAGAAGGCATCCAGCCATGTAATATGAAAAACAGAGACATTTATTGAAGAAGATACAAGATACAAGAAACATTGTACATAGAATAATGACGCCTCAGTCCCCTTCAAAGTAGGTGCCTTGGGACCTCACAGTTCTCCCAATCGTCATCAGCTGCCCTGTTGTATTTTCCTGAATCTCATTGACCATCTAAAATCTCCTCATTTTCAAAGGTAATTTTTAGTTTTGGGAAAAGCCAGAAGTTGCAGGGTTCCAAATCTGGGCTGTAGGGGGCTGAGTCATCTGGGTGATTTGATGTTTCACCAAAAAACCCTGCACAAGTTTTGATGCATGAGCAGGCACATTGTTGTGATGAAGCTGCCAATCGCCAGATGCTAGAACTGTGGCCTTCTGAATCATCCAAATAGTTCCCATGGAGGAATGTCCACACTTAATGCAACATTTGATATTGCCATACTTGCTCAGTCATTTTGAATGTGACGACCACACAGTACACATGGTCACTCAAGGGCGTTTACCACCCCTACTCACTAATATAGCAAAGTCTTCATTGTTCACACATGCGCATTCCAGCACACTCCGCTTGGCTGCCAGGTTACATCAATGTCGCACAAACCATTCTCATTATATTAACAATGTTTGGACTTTTTCTGGACAGACCTCGTATACATACAATGGTATGTTGCTCAGCCTTAAAAGAGGAAGGAAATTCTGACACCTACAACATGGATTAATCTCTGAGGACATGGTGCTAAGTGAAATAAGTCACAAAAGGCCATATTCTACATTATTCCACATGTATGAGGTACCTAGACTAGTAACCATAGTGACAGAAAATAGAATAGTGCCTTCCAGGGGTGTCAGGGAACACTGTCATGTCTCTAGGACTCCCTAATTTGAGGCAGCCTCTCTCCTGTTCTTTTTCATGCTTTGACTTGATAAATCAACTAAGTCAGGATTTGTTTTTTTTTTTTCACTTGAGAGGGAAAGAAGGAGAGTTGGAGGAGAAGAAACAGATTTGTTTTTCCACTTATTTATGCATTCATTGGTTGCTTCTTACATGTGCCCTGACCAGGGACAGAACCCCACAACTTGGGCGTGTGGGGACGACGCTCTAACCAACCAAGTTACCTGGCCAGGGCTGAGTCAGTTGTTTCTGAAAAACGTGACATATTCTGGATTTGTCTGTTTTTCCCCCGTGATGACATTTAGATTATCCCTCTATCACCTTTATTCCCTGCAAATGAAAGTCAGCTTGCTGGTGTGGTTCAGTGGATTGAGCATTGGCCTGCAAACTGAAAAGCTGAAGGTTTTATTCCCAGGGCACATACCTGGGTTGCAGGCTGGGTCCCCAGTTGGGGGTGTGCCAGAGGCAACTGGTCAATGCTTCTTTCACACATTGATGTTTCTCTCCCTTTGTTTCTCCCTCCCTTCCTCTCTCTCTCAAAATGAATAAACAAAATCTTTTTTAGAAGTTAGCTCTCAAGGCCTGGTTAAATCCAGTTTCAAGTTTTTTGAGGTCGGTGCTGAGCATCATGCAGCATCATTTCTGGAGGCCAATGATGTCAGGTTGTCCTGCTTTTCTCCAAGTGGAGATTAGTCAGTTTAGGTGGCCTCAGCCTGATCCCTCCACGGGCATTTCCTACCAGCATTTCACCTCATGCTTTTATCCATTGATGACCATCGATGGCATCAATTGTTTCACCAGGGATTGCAAAATGCTGAGTTCCGAATTTTATCATTCCTTCCACATGTGTTAGCTGGAATGCATAATACTGAGTTTCCAGTTTTATCATTTCTCTCACATTTATTAACAGGAAGTATGCTGTAGAGAAGAACTTTCTCTCACCAACTACGGATATTTGGTTATCCCGAAACACAGTTCATACCGGAAAGGCAAGAGCAGAGACAGTAGCAACCCTCCCTGGTGCCGCTCACTGAGGTATCCCGAGGGCTGGAATATTGCCTGGAAAATGGAGGCCACTCAATAAACACTTGAAAAATCCAACTGAAAGCCATATATTGGAATACTGTGTAACTCTGAAAAGGATAAAGCAAATGTGTATCTATCTGTGTTGACACGGCATAATACTTATATTGTTGAGTGAAAAAGGTCACAGAACAGTAAATAATACAATTTGTCAACTTTTATTTCAAATGTATATTTTACATGTATCAAAAATAGGATAGAATAGAGGGCTAATTCATTCTGAAAAAGCAACAGCCCTGGTGGGGTAGTACAGTTGGTTGTAGCATCATCTCCATACACCAAGGTTGCTGTTCCGTCCCCAGGCAGGGTACATACAGGAATCCACCAATGAATGCATAAATAAGTGGAACAATAAATCAGTCTCTCTCTCTCAAATCAATTTAAAAAGAAAAAAGAAACAATAGCCTCAGCCACTGTGGTTCAGTTGGTTGGGTGGAGTCCTGCAAAGCAAAAGGTCACTGGTTAGACTCTGGTCAGGACACATTACCTGGGTTGTGGTTTGTCCACCGACGGGGCACCAGAGATACCCTACCAGTGTTTCCCTCACACATTGATGTTTCTCTCCCTCTCTTTCTCCCTTCTTCCCCTCTCTCTAAAAATAAAATAATATATATGATTTATTTATTTAAAAATATATTTAAAAAAGCACTAGATGCAGCTCTGGCTGGTGTGGCTCAGTGGATTGAGCACCACCAGCCTGTGAGCCGCAAGGTCGCTGGTTCCATTCCCAGTCAGGGCACAAGCCTGGGATGTGGGCCAGGTCCCCAGCTGGGAGCCTGGGAGAGGTAACTGATTTCTCTCCCTCTCTTTCTTCCTCCTTTCTCCTCTCTAAAAATAAATAAAATCTTCAAATAAATAAATAAAGCACCAGACACATACCTCAGACTATTTAAATGTAAATAACCAGCATTACAACCATTCCTCTTACCACTTTGTAAGCTGTGGGTTTTATATTTAAGCATATATTTTTCCTTTTTTTCTTTTTAAAAAAGATTTTATTTTGCGGGAGGATAACCAACCAACTGAGCCACATCGGTCAGGGCATATTATTTTTCTTAATGATGTATTCACGTATTTTCACAATACCTTATAGATATTACATTTTTTCCATAATTTGCGGTTGGGTCAGGAGGAGGGAGCCATAACTTAGGTAGATGGTGAAGGGGTGGGGACGGTGAGAAGGGACCTATCAACCCAGGGTGCCCATTTGTCCAGGATCTGACCCTCTCCACCAACGCAGCCCTCTGCCCAAAAACTCGAAGCCGCTTCTGCTCATCCCTGCAGGGCTACATGTACTACACAGGCTCTTCCCGGTTTCGTCTTCGGCTCCGTGCGGTCACACGCTCATCTGGGGTCAGAACCATCTTCATCCGGCTGCGGTTGGGGAGGGGTCACAGGCCCTCAGGCTATTGGCTGGGACCCCACCTCCCTCGGCCCGGGTCACAGTTCCACACGCAGGGGTCAGGGTCCCCCTCACCTGGGGCCACAGCCCCCTCCCTTGGAGGGAGGCTCACCGACCCCAGGCATGGGTCCCAGTTTGACATTCAGCATAGGCACAGGCCTTTCGGCTGGACGTGCCCTCCCCGGGCCAGGGCCTTAGTTCCCCGCCCAGGGAGCCCTGGTCCCTCCCCCGAGGCCCGCGGCCCCGCCTCCGGACCGATGCAGAGGGTCCCGGGATCCCCGGGGTCCCAGGCGGAGGCCCCGGGCGCCCGGTCCGAGGTCTCGGCGCCCGAGAGGCCTGTGCCGACCGCGTCGCCTCCACAGGAGGCTTCGGATGACTCGCGGCCCGCGTCCTCGTCGCCCGCCTGGCTCTCCGAGTGGCCGCCGACCGCGAGCGCAGCGGGGGACGGGTCGCTGCCACGCCGGGCCGCGTGGGGCGGGATGGCGTCCGGCACGTTGCTGGAGGCCGGCCTGGCTCGGGTGCTCTTCTACCCGACGCTGCTGTACACGCTGTTCCGCGGGAAGGTGCCGGGCCCGGCGCACCGCGACTGGTACCACCGCATCGACCGCACGGTGCTGCTGGGCGCGCTGCCGCTGCGGAGCATGACGCGCGGGGTGAGCCGGGCCGGGAGGCCGGGCCGCGTCGGGCCTGGGAGCCGGGCAAGCGCCGCCCGGGCCTCGGCCACCGGTTCTGAGCCCCCTCTTTACCTCGGCAGCTGGTAGAGGACGAGAACGTGCGCGGGGTGATCACCATGAACGAGGAGTATGAAACCAGATTCCTGTGCAACTCCGCCAAGGTGAGGGGCCTGGGCCAGAGGCGGGGAGCTGCGGCCGGCCCGGAGCGCCGGAGGAAGCTGGGGGAGGGGCGCCGCAGGTGAGCTTGATCCAGACCCTGGTGTCCCAGGATTTTTGCCTCCTCAGGAGGAGGGTCCAGGACTGGAAGCTTAAATGACTGCGACTGCAAGCAGAAACTAATTGTGAAACAGAAACTGTTGTGAAAGGCGTTTAAAAGTAGAGTTGACAAAGTGATTACGGCTTTGTGCACAAATGTAGTCTTAATTTCGGTAATTAGGAATCAGTAAGTAAATTTGAAAGGCAGCTTTACTTCGGCTTGCTGATTTCATTCATTCAACACTGACTGAGCACTAAGTATGGATCAGGCGCTGCCCTAGGCATTCAAGATGAAGGCCCTATGAACTCTTAAGAAAAGCTGCCCTCGCCTCCCTCCCCCAGAGTAAATTTATCATAGAACGATCCATTGAAAAACTGCATCGGTAAACTTCATTTGGCTCTTGATTTCAGGAATTTTTATTCACGTTAGAGATTTAGTGGAATTCCAAAATACTGTCATAATAAAGTTCAGCCCTAAAACATAATTTCCATTAAATGTGAATGCCTGTTTGTGCAACTCTCCACAATGGTTATTGGGCATTGCTCTATCTTCAGATAAAGACCTTGCCCTGTCTTACAGTGTGGGACATCTACTAACCTTACTTACACGATTATCCTTCTTGTTTACTGTGTTAATATGGTGAAGATGCTGTAATTTCAACCCGTGGATTTTTTGAAACCTTAGCAATATCTACGACTCATTTAAAATATTTTGATTAGTAATGGCATACATTTTTAAGGAATGGAGAACAGTTCCTTGGATTTCCCAAAGTACTTTGCCACAAAGCCTCAGGAGCCATTAGCCAGAATGCTAATGAATGAATGTTCCTTAGTGTGGTCAGTCCTGTGGAGCGAGAGGAGTTGCAAAAAAGTGCTTGTTGTCTTGCATGTGTGGCATTTGACATTGTACGAGTTCGCTATACTATCCCGTTAGTCTAGAAAAGAAATCTCCAAGGCAGGCAGTGGTTCTCACATTGTAATACATCTAAGGATGATCTGGCAGTCTTGTCATGTCAGATTCCTAGGTACTAGCCCCAGACATTCTGGCTCAAAACTTTAGGGTGTATCCCAGGAATCAGAACATTTAGTAAACTCCCTGGGTGTTTCTGGTGTCATTGAAGCATAAGCCACATGCTGCAAAACTGCTGTTTGTTCATTTTACCAGCACTATTGACCTTCATTCAGAGTCCTCAAGTCTCTGGTTCTAGCTAAAGAGATTAATAATGAGTATCTGGAGCCTCTCTGAAGTCTTAAAGTAAAAAAAAAAAAAAAAGTTTCCCTGTTTGCCAGAGACCAATTATCTCCTATTTCTGATTCTTTTTTTTTTCTTTGCAAATTGATAATATGCCATAGCAAAGTTAGGTGCATTGTTTTAATTTTAAAATAACTATTTTCTACCATGTACCCTCTCAAGAAAAAAGTGGTAAAAACAAGACTTAATGCGAAGACAAATAGAAAGCTCTTGCAAAATACAGTAGCCCAATTCCATGGCCAGGTCACTGCACAGGCACCAAGATTATACAAAAATGTAGCTGCACAACTTTTGTAGATGGATTTTTTAACAGCTAAAAATGCAAACACCCAAAGGGCACTTGAGGAACATTTTAAATCTTGGACATAATTCTAACTCGCCGGCATAGCTATTGTTTGATGAAAGACTGACCATCTAGGTCCGCTATTTAAAAAATATTTCTAAAACACACACACAAAAAGAAAATAAAAAATATTTCTGTAAACGGTTTCTTGTTTAGAAAACAGTAAACAGTATATTCACGTTGAAGTCAACCCTGAGGCCTCCTTGTTGCTCTGCTGCCTTTTGGGAGCCCGTCTTCCTGCTACTAACGCCTGGCTTTCTCCCTCTGTTCATGCTGGTGGACCTCCTTTCAGGAGTGGAGGCAAGTAGGGGTTGAGCAGCTGCGACTCAGCACAGTAGACATGACTGGAATCCCAACCTTGGCCAACCTCCGGAAAGGAGTCCAGTTTGCTCTCAAGTACCAGTCGCTGGGCCAGAGTGTCTACGTGCATTGCAAGGCCGGGCGCTCCAGAAGTGCCACCATGGTGGCAGCGTATCTGATTCAGGTAGGAAAGGTCTTTCTGCACTGGTCCCGCTTACAGCAGATTTCCAGAACTTCAGTAGCATAGTCTACAGATGGGTCTTGCTGGAAAGAGCCATGTCTCGGGTTTCAGGCTGTTGGGAGGTGGAAAGCACCTGAGCTTTGCAGGTAGGCTGATCTATGGTTTTGCCACTTGCCAACTCTGTGACCTTAGGCCAAAGTGGCTTCTTCCTCCGATGCCGTTTCCTCACGTTAAAGAGTTACAAAGGATCTGACCACCAGCTAAAGGCTAGAAACACTTGTTATGAACAGCATGCCAGGAAGTCTAGTACTGTAAATAGTGCTGATCACTTACAGCTCTATGATACTCAGATTCCTTCAAGTATTTCAGAATATGGTTCTGGACATTAGTTTCTAGAAATGGAGGATCCAGTGGAATTTGGCCTATCAATTTGCTGTGATGAGGTGGGATACTTTAAAAAAAATATTTAGAAGCCAACAACTCTTCTCACTCTCTGTTACATACCCCCTGCCTGGCTCATTTTTGTTACCTGTCTGGCCCCTGCAGAGCATTTGTTAAGTCACGTGGGTAGTTTAAGGAAAAGGAGATGTAGAGATGACCAGCCTGGCCTTGTCTGTATTCCTGTGCACTGACGAGCGTATGACTTCACGGTACTAAAGCTTTGGCTATTAGGACTGCTGGCTGGAAACAGGGGCTCCAGAGGGTATTTTGGGCCGAGTGAGAGTTGAACCAGCAGGCTAGAAGTCCCTATTTCTTGGTTCTGTTGTGTTCTAAACCAGCAACTTTCCTTAGGACACAAAGATAACTCTCCCAGCCGGATTCCGAAAGTGCTGTTTCTCTAGCCAGGGGAACGAATTGCATAAAAACATCTCCTCTTTCCAGGAAACTTGTACCCAGGGGACCAGCTCAGGGAAGGACACCTCATAGGCTGAGGCAAGTTTGAATTTAGGATCTAAGCTTCACCTGTTCAACCTTTTGCCAGGGTTTGGCAGAGCAGGACTCAGGCAGAAAGTCTGACTTGTCCCCCCAGCCTGCTGCATAGTAATTTGGGACTGGCTCACGGAGGTTGCTGAAGTGCTCTCCCGTTTATAATGTGTGGAACATGGTTTTAAACTCCCCTCTCCTGGTGTTTTTTGTTTTTAATGAAATTCTGGGAGCCCGTTAGCCCCTGTCATCAGGTCAAGGACACCATGCACCAGCTTCTTTCTTCGCTGATTTCTCAACCCTGAACTGCATTGCAGGTGCACAATTGGAGCCCCGAGGAGGCAATAGGGGCCATCACCAAGATCCGGTCACACATCCATGTTAGACCCGGCCAGCTGGAAATCCTCAAAGAGTTCCATAAGGAGATCACGGCGAGTGCAGCAAAAGATGAGACGCATCCTACATCACAGACATGAAGTGTGTGGACTAGAAAGAGCTCAAGACAACCCTGCTGGCCATAGGATGAAAAAATTTAATGGGACCCATGGGGCTTAAGCCCAGGCAGCGTAATAGAAGTGTGCTGAATAATGGGTAATTTTGCTCCCTTTGTCCTGTTTCATTTCCCTGAACACGGGTTCCAGTGTTCCGTCGTATGGCTGGAAGGACTGAGCATGGCTTCTGTTCACAGGGCTTGGGGATACAGGATAGGGATGGGGGCATCTTAGTTTTTGGAACAGGGTCAAAGAAGCCGATCGTGCACCTCCTGTTGTATCTGACGGTATTAGAACCACAACCCAAAGGCGTTTACCTCGAGGGAAAGGGGGGAAACACTCAGCTCTGGCCAGACTCCCCGTTTACTGGCCCCCACTTTTGGAGCAGTGACCTAGGTGGAAACAAGGAAACACGGGATGCAGTCAGGACTGTGGCTGACTTAGAACTGTGTGTGCGTGTGATTAGCGTTCCTCAGAAAGTCACCCCTTCAGAATTCAAATGAGACACGCACAGCCCTTGAAAACTTTTATTGGTATGAACAGTTCTTAGCTCTTGATGGGGCTTAGAACTTTTAAAAGAGCAGAGACCTTATCTATTTGAGTTTCAAAAATGTTTCTGCTATTAATCAGAAATAGTCCTTTCTACTTTTTTCTGGCTTATTCCTTAGAGGGAGCCAAAAATCAAACCAAAGTATACATCTCCTGACCGACAGCTGAGAAAACAATAGACAGAACGTCCAAGACTCTAGAGACGGTTGTCGTTGACTCTTGCTGGTGAAGGACACCTTCAGCTTTGTTCTTTCTCCCAAGCAAAGCCTGAAGGAAAACTCTCAACACCTACTTCTCCGTGAAAAAAATTACCAAGCAGCCATTTTGCAGGCTGCAGAAAAAAGGAAGATTGCCATCTTTCCTTTTATCCGGGGGTCGGGGGTCGGGGTGCTTCTATTTAACCTTCATTAGGCCCAGAGGGGAGGCTGTGCCAGACATCTGCGAAGACACACTAAGCGGTCCGTGTGTGAGGCACAGGATCACCCCGGGACGGCGGGGGACGGCGGAGGACAGGCGGACCGCCTCGGCTCAAGCAGCCGGCTGAGCAGCAGCAGTCTGAGGGCCCCAAAAGGGCTACCCCTGTGGGTTCGGGGAAGGGCTGAGGGCTGCCTGTGGAACACGTGCCAATGAATAACAGTACTCTGAGCAGGGGCCTGGGGGACTCTGAAGGCTGGATGGGTGGGTGCTGGAAAGGGGGAGGACAAAAGTCAGCTGCTCTTCCCACCACAGCCTTAGGCCAGCACAAACTGCAGGTTAGTGAGCAGCACCTTAATGCCTCTGGTGACGGTTATTGTGGAGGTGGCGGGGTCAAGCTTATAGGTGTTGGCATCTCCCTTTTTATATCGGTCCCGAAAAACATAAATGCTCCCGTTACAGCTGGCGATCTTCCAGAGAGATGGGGCAGAGCTCCAGGCCTCAGGAAGGCAGAGCCGGGTAAAGCTGTCTAGCAGGGGGTTGTAGCACACCAGGGAGTCCCCTTCGGCCACGATGAACACCAGATCCTTGTGCACAGCCGCGTGCATGCGGCCTGCGAAGGGCAGCACATACGGCTTCACGTGGCACTTGTCTGTCTCTGTATCGAAGCACTGGATGAGCCGGGAAGGTTTGGTAAAGAAGTCCAGGTCGTTCTCCTCCCCCCCTAGTAAGTAGATGATCCCGTTGAGGTTGGCTCCGGCAGCCCCCGACACAGCCACCTCTAGCTGCGTTGTCTCTGTCCAGACGTTATCACCCACCCGGTAGTAGATGACTGCGTTGGAGAGGGTGTCCTGCAGTGTCTTGCCACCGAGTGAATATATGGCATCTTTCCCGGGCACAGACACCAGGGTGTGCTGGAGCCGGTCCCGGGGCAAGGGCGCACACCACTCCCAGTCCACGGTGGCATTGTTACATTTCCACATGCGCCGTGGGATGGACCCTCCCACCACGTACAAGTCTCCACCATGCTTGCAGGCTGCAGTGATCTGGTGGCACAGGCTGTTTTGGCCACTTACGCTGATGGAGTCATCTTCCGCACAGTGCAAGGACACAGCCAATGAGTGAGTACGAGATGACTCTTTCCCGATCAGATAAATGTGCACATTCTCCCCAATTTCCTATTGGAAAAATTTAAATTATAAATGGTACCTATCAGCTCTGCTCCAAGGCTCAGCTGAGAAACACAGCCTTAAGGCCCTGGGCCACACACTTGTATTTTGCTCTAACCTATTCCCTCCTAGTGTCACCCTGACTCTCCTCTAATCACTGTCTTTCAGGCGTTTTATGCTGGGGCAGGGAGTCTGTTGCACTCATGCTTTCCGCCCTTTAAAGCTACCCTGAGATGGTGATTCAGACAAAAGGTCCTTAGGACTGCTATGCAATAATGGAAGTGGTTCTCTCAAGGAACTTTTGGGCTCACACACATCATCTTTCCTGGCTCCTACCCATCAAGCCAGAAATAACTTCTTATTCACTAGTCATCAAAGAGGCCAGGCCAGCCCTGGCTGATGTGGCTCAGTGGATGGAGAGCTAGCCTGTGAAACAAAAGGTCGCCAGTTCAATTCCCAGTCAGAGCACATGGACCTGGTTTATGGGCCAAGTCCCCAGTAGGGGCTGTGTGAGAAGCAACCACACATTGATGTTTCTCTCCGTCCCTCCTTCCCCCTCTCTAAAAATAAATAAATAAATATATATTTTTAAAGGTGCCAGGCCTATCAACAGGTGTAATGCATGGTTATTATAGTGTCCTCACACTAAAGAAATCTGCCTTACCTTCAAGCTACTCCTGAGTGACTCTGCAAAAGCTTCTCTTTCCTCTTTATTAAAATTGATCCAGGCTTCTATCGCCTCTGTTGGGTTCTGGGAACATGGAACTCCATCTGTTGAGAACCAGAGGAAAGGCATGGTCAATGGCACACTGACAATCTGAAAGGGAGGTTTAGACCCAGAGCCTTTAAAAGTGTGAACCACTTTGTTAGGCTACCAGCATGTATGTATGTGTACATGAAGTTAATCTAAAATTGCTTTGTTTCTTTTAATCAAATTGCTGGTTTGCTATACTCCCATTTGTCATGAAAGCAATCTACTAGGCTGCAGAGCTCACACCTAAAGTATGGTTATACCTCACCTGAGGGTCAGGATTGTTGCCTGAACTTGGCCCATCACTTAAGAAGTTTTTTAGATATCTTCGTTCATCCATCATAAATTTACTTAGGTAACAGACACATGCAGAGTGCAGGATGGGTAAGAACACTTAAGCTCAGGGGAGATTAGAGTATAAATACAAATACTTCCCTGGTGGGTGTGGCTCAGTGGATTGAGCACCAGCCTGCAAACCAAAGGGTCGCTATTTCAATTCCCAGCCAGGGCACGTGCCTGGGTTGTGGGCCAGGTCCCTGGTAGGGGGCACGTGAGAGGCAACCACACATTGATATTTCTATCCCACTCTTTCTCTGTCTAAAAATAAATAAAATCTTAAAAAAGAAAGAAATACTTCCTTGTTACCTTCTGTGGGTAAGTGCTGCTGCTTTTATTTTCCTGAAGCCTTCCTCAGAAAGGGACTCTGATAGCAGCTGTGCTAAACTGCAAGTCAATTTCCCTCAGAAGGTATCTAAATTCCCACCAATAATACTGTAAACTAACACCAGGAGGCCTGAGGGTTCCTTTCTCCTGAATTAGAATATCCAATGAGCATAACTAAGTAGCTGGGTGCGATGTGCCCTCTCCCTCAACTTACCAGAGATGATATCAGTGAGCAGATGGTGGGGTAAGTGGAGAAATTCCTCCGTGCCCTGCAGCTGGGCCAGATGGGCCTTGGCGCAGTGCTTGGCAGCAGTATAGAGCTCAGGATCGCTGTGCCGATCTGCCAACCACATCACCTGAAGGCAGTTCCCCACCTGCACTGTGCGGGCCAAAAACCGAGAACATTCCTCAAAGAGAGATGTCAGCTGATACATGTCTGACACCTCATAAATTTCCTGCAGCTCATCAGCTCGAAGTTTCACAGTTCCATGGTAGATGTAATCAACCAGGAGCTGGAAAACAGACTCACTGACATCCTGCAGCACAATCACGCGGTTGTGGGCCTCCTTCAGGTTGGAAGTGAACATGGACCGGAAGAAGCAGCTCTGAGCTGAAAGGACCAGCCGGTGGAGCTGAAACTCCCGACCTTCCACTGAAATGGTGACATCAGCAAAGAGCTCTTCCTCCAGACACAGTTTCATGATGCCCTGGGCCACACGGCCTGAGTGTGACCGATCTTTGAAAGTGTAGTTCACAAAGTAGTTCTCATCCATGGATGCTCCAGGCTCCTCCGGTGATTCCATGGTGGCCAGCTTCTCTCTCTGCCAGCTGTCTGCAAAGCAACACCACCCTCAGTAACTTGGGGAATCCACAGCCACGGTCTATGGATCAAACTGTGCAGTTGAAAGCAAAGTGGGCCCAGACCATAACATCTCTGGATGATCCCCTACAACCACAGCTGAGTTCATTCTCCTGCAGTGGCACCCCATCCCTAATAAAATCAATAAAATTCCTCACTCTGGGTGTTTCCCTGAGAAGACATGAAATGTTCCTTTCTGTGACATAAGAAAAGCCCTGGTATTTTTGGTCAGCGGATGAAAGCAAACGGCTGGAGAGATACCATGATCTTAAAAGTCTGGAGAAGAGTCTTGCAAACCAAATATTGAATTAACTACTGGGTATAAAACTAGTGAGGCTCTAGAGAGCAGAAACAAATAAAAAGGACGCCCAAGTCCTTGTGTGCGGGAAGAGCTCACTCCCAACCCCCTTTCCCACTTCCCCGTGCACATGGAGACCAGACTTTCCAACTCGAGGATTGGCTGGGACATCTGTCAGCCCCACATATGGTCTCTTCTGAGCGAGTTCTCCCCAGCACTTCCCCGCTCCCCCTAATGACTCCCCTAAGCTCGGTCCCAGAACTCGAGTCAGAGTCCAGTTGTCCCCAGCCCGGGGCACAAGAAGGCCCACTGCCACGTGCAGTGTCGCCGCTTCACCAGGAGTCGCCTGGGAAACGGTCGCCAGGGAAACCGTTCCCCACCCCCACTAGGCCAGCCAGCCC